CTGTCATACAATCAAATCTGTTCAAGATGCATGTGTGATATACATATGAGAAGCTATATAACTAATTTGCATCTTCAATACACTTATTATATGGCCATTGCTATATATTGGACAAGTGTCCCGTACCCGTACCCGTACCCATACCCATGTCCAAGTATCAAGTATCTGAGACTGCTTCTTAAGCATTTTAAAGTGGTTTGACATGATGGAGTAACATAACATTCAAGTGTTGCATAGGATTTAATCACACGCCGAAAATTCTAAACAGACTCGCCAATTTTCTTCAAGTTTATACATTACAGAATTAAAGATTACAAAGTTAAAGAAATAAAACCTTTATCATCAGGATCACCGGGCCACTTCCCCGCGGTGTGCTTAAAAGAGCCTGCTTTCCCTTCACTCCTTTTCCAATCAGACTTCACCCACCTACTCTGCCACCCATCTTCTCACAGCCACAAACAAAATACACGTTAACCCATACATTCACTTAAATGAAAAATCAAACTAAAACAACATCTGAAATACTTCAATCCACAAAAGACCATATCAGAAAACACAACCAACATTAAAGCTAAAGAACTATAGCAATGGGTAAAGTTTCTGGATTAATTAATTCCAAGAACCCTTAATTTTTATCAACAAATCTTGGTTGCTCACATATCAAATTACATGTAAAACATAAGAGCAGAAATCAACTAGTTAAGCACAAAGCGTAAGATCAAATCATAAAAATTTGAAACTAGATCACGAATAATCCACAACAAATTTAATCTAATTTAAGCCCAGGTATTAAATGATAGTAATAAAGATTTGTAATTACTACTATGTTATTAGCATGTGATCACACTAAAAATGCAAAGATTCTTACCCTCAAAACGCTCTTCAAAAATGATTTCAGCAAGGGAAGAGCTGAAGACCGAAAATAACACTACTAGAATTCGCACTATATTTTTGTGCTCAGAGTGAGGAGCCATGTTGGGTTTACTGCTCTACTTGCAAAGCTAATTATAGAGAGCGTGTTGTATATTGACCCCAAGTTTTGGGGTTTATTTACGGTCATGACCCTTATAGTGATTTCTCTATTGACTTTGAAGTTTCTCATTTGCACGTAGGTCTGTCCAATGGGATTCCTCCTAGTACTTTCTTTGGTCCTTTTTGGTCCATATCATTTTTAATTGACTTGCTAAATTCTAGTAATTTTTAATTTTAATTTTTTTTATTGTTTTTTATGTGAGATCTAGATGTATTAATTTTGAGCATTTTTTTTATGTTTGAGTATTAATTTTAAGTTTTATTTTTTTCTCACACACATTTTCAATCACATAAATATTTTGCACGTAAATTTAAAATATTTTATTACTTTTTAACAACACGTTTTTCAAAAACTCACAATTACAAAATTCATTTTGATAAAATAATGGACATCAAACAGAAGCTAAGCGAGGCAACCATTGGGGTCGAAGCTAGGGGCTGAGATGCCCTCTCCATCTCGTTCCCTATTGGAGATTTCAGGGAGTCAGGAACGGAAGATTAAAATATCTTCATTTCTCTTCACGTTCTCTCATTTACTTTTTTGTTATTTTTTTATATTATTTTGAAAATGATTTGAATTTTAAAAATAAAAAATCCCATCCCTAACATGATTTTCGGTTGGGTCAGGGTCGAGGTCAAGGTCGGACGGTGTATTTTACCATCCTAAAATTATTTATTAAGGGTTATAATATAAATATATTCCAAATAAATTTAAAATTGAGCGAAGAACCGAACCCCACGCAAGGGCTGGGAAAGTAATATTGTAATATTTCCAAGCATTTAGGCTATTTTGGCTTGACTTATATCAATTGACCTTCGTTTTGTATTGCCGAGTTGACTTTCGCTATCACTGAAGGCTTTGCTCCATAGTAGTTTCCTAAGTACTGTTTATTTTCAATTTAAGCCAATAAAAGCGTGCTTGTTTGGTGTTTTTTATGTTCCCACAGAATATATGAATAATAAATAAATAAATATTTAAATTTCGCGGAACACATAAATAAAAATAGAATTTGATCAACTTTTAATTAATTATGATCTTTATCGAGCATACACAAAAATAAAAAATAAAAAAACTCTTAACCCCTGTTTGGTAGGGATTATAATCAAAATTTTATTATAAGTTAAAGTAAATAATTAATTTTAAAGATTCATAACTTTTTAACCACAAATTTCATCAATTTTAAGTTCGGGGCAATTTCTAGAGGTATAAAAACTCAAAACAACATCTAGAGGTATAAAAATTTGTTGAATCTAACGGATGTGCCTGTGGCGGTCAATTTCTGCAAATAGTTAGTAAGAATGAAACTATGCTATAGAGTGAGAAAGAGTATTTGCGCAAATATCCCCAACCTTTCATGTTATTTGAAAATTCGTCCCCAACCTTTGGGAATTTAGAGCTGCTCATTCACATGGATGATTCTCATCCATTTTTCATTAATCAACCCATTTGACTAGCAAATTGAGAAATTTAATCATTAAATAAAAAACAAAAGGGAATAAATAAAAAAAATAAACAACTGAAGAGTTGAAGGTCTAGATGCCTTTCGAGGGCAAAATCTAATGCTTATCATATTATGTTAAGGTGATTTTTCCTTATCCACGTACTTTTGTGTTTAGTAGTTCTGAAATATGAACACGTGGAGGTGAATAATATATTTTTCAATTTTGTACATATTACTTTGGTAGATTTGTTTATGGCAATGTGAAAAAAAATGGCATCTATGTGTCAACGTTGAAGAAATTATTGAAAAAATGGCATGGCAACCATGTAGCGGAAGTGATAATTGTTGTTGGTAGGGCGTGGGGTAGAACAAGGTGACATTTTTTCTTTTCTTTTTTTTTTTCGAATGCTTTATTTTTCTTTTTTCAAGATGTCAAAGGAATTGACTAAAGAAAAACAGATATTCATTTGAATGAATGACGTTAATTTTCCAAGTTAGAGGCACAGGTATAAAAGAAAACGTTAGGGATGAATTTGTAAATAATATGAAAGATGAGGACCACGGTTTATTATACCCCATATATAAACGTCACTCCAACGTTCTCGTCACTCACTTTCAAGAGAAACAACTCTCACAAATTCATACCTCACATCCGTCTCGCTCTCTTGTACTATTGTCATCGTTGCTGCTTTCAGCCGTAGAAACCTTTTCGTCAATTGGAGGTATGAATATCACGCCGATCACCTTTCACTATTTAATCTTGTATAATTTCATATGAATGTGTGCAGCTCTTGTATCGGGTCATCTAAAGCAAGAAAGAAGGATTTTGTAGAATTGTTGAAATCTTCAAGAGAATCTATAATTCAGAGAGTTGTTTGCCCTTAACACAAAAGTCATGTAAAGCATTTTTCTGTTTTCCCTTCAAGCCATTTGTTCTAGTTTGGTAGGTTATTTTGCAAGTTCCCAAATAAGAGCCAAGTACCTTGGACTCGATGCACTGTCCAGAAAACTCCTCCTTGAGTTACATGATGCAATTCCCTTACAAGGCGTGATGCCTGGAGACTACAGTTTTTTATTTAATTTAAATCAATAAATGTACAACCAAGCCTTGGAACAGTCTTTTCATCCTTGACATATAACAGACCATTTGGTTATTTTCTTGATATAATACCTTTCTCAGGTACTATTTGCAGCAACCAAAAATAGATTTCTGACATTCTAAGGATGAAACTCAACCTAAACCCTTCACAGCAAATATTTTTCCAGTCAAGCATAAACACCCTCCACCCCGAACTCAATTTTTCTAGTGCATACGGGAAAGGATCCCTATGGTTTTTTTTTTTTTAAATCGCGAACCCCCTAAGTTAATATGTCTAGATGATCATAGTGTCTGGATGACTGGAACACAAAGCTACAAGAGTGGCAATTTTTTCAGTTCCTCAAGTACTTTCACATTTTTATACACGATAGAGGAGATAACTTTACGACAGGGCCCCTTCTTTGAACTCAAACAGCAGCTTAGCATGCCCAAATCTTTCATTCTACGTCAAGTGATTGAACAGTCAGAAAGCAAAGCATGGATACTAAACCCTTGTTTGGTTGCCCTTTTTTGGGAAAAACATTATTTTAAATAGTGATTTTTTGGAGAATTTGTGGTTAAAAAGTTGGGAAAAGTTTTGGGTTTACATGTAGAATATTTTATTGTGTATATGTGTAGTTGAAAATGAGTATATAAAAAAAAGAGTTTCAAAAGAATGTGTTATGAACTGTGTGCGTTAATATATATGGTAGGTGTATAAGTCTAGAATTATGTCATTGTTAGGTAGGATTATTTCCTTTTGAGAAATATTCTCTACATGTATATATATATATATGTAACCCGTTGATGAAGGAATGAGATATTGAGGTTTTCCCAAATCAACCAACATGGTATCAGAGCCTAATTCTCTAAATTAGGGTTTCAATTTCTTTAAAAAAAAAAAATTGGATTGTCAAAGGTTTGGGTTGGTACTCTTTGTGATAAACCGACACATACCTAGGTCACTTAGTGGCGGGTAAAGATCAGAAGAGGTTTCGATGGTGGTGGAAGCTACTCTGCAACGAGGGTCCAGGGTCGCCATGTGATCCTAACTTAGGTTCTTTCTGGTTCGAGCAGTTTGGTCTGCAACGGTGTGATCGTCGGCACCTCTCGTTGTCGGAGGGTGTGGAGCTCAGTGAGCAGTGTCTGTGTGGGCGGCTATTTGGCTCCATCGTGTTGGTTTTCTCCTCGGTGGTGATTCAATCGAAGCAAGTGATTGAGTTTGTGTGTCGATCTGGGAGTTCGTCAATTTGGACCTTATTCCAGTGGGTCAATTGGTTTGGGCTTTCATCCATTTGGGCCTTATTTCTAGTAGGTCAGTTTTTTTTTAATTATTATTTTGTTTGGTTGGCCTATTTTGTTTGGGCTTGGACTTCCATTGATCTTGGGTTGCCTTGGTGTTTATTTGGGTTGCTTTATTTTGTGTCATCTCTGGTTCTTTGTTAATCATGGATGAAAGTGACAAGAAAATGGTGAATGAAATCACAGTAACCCCGTCCTCAAAAATCATAGATAGAAAGTTAATCGGTAGTAGGAATTATGCTCAATGGAAGAGAATTGTTCACAAATATGTGTCGAGTGTGGATTTGGGCGATCACTTGACCGATGACCCACATCCACAATCTGATACTAATCCTGGAATTCGAAAAAAATGGCTAATGGAAGATAATAAACTCTTTAATCAGATTCAGAATACCCTTGACCCGACAGTTGACGATGTCATTAATCATTGTGATACTGAAAAATAGTTGTGGGATTATCTAGAATTTTTATATGCAAGTAAACAGGATGTATCGCATGTTCATGCACTGATGTTAAAGATTTATCGAGCGAGCAAAAGGGGCGCAATTTTTTTCAATACTATACTGAAGTAAAACAGGCATTTGAAGAAAAGCGAGCCATGTTTCCTATTACTAGTGATGTGAAGACAATGCGTGAACAAGAAGAACAAATTGTGGTCCAGTGTTTTCTTGTAGGTTTGGGTCCTGAATATGAGGCGGCTCGTACACAGTTACTTACCAGTGAAATACTACCTTCGTTGAGTGATATATATGCTCTCTCCTTCGGGTTTGCAAGGACAATGACAAGGAGCAGGGTGTAGTACCGAATGAGATGGTAGCTCTTGTTGGCTCAAATTCCAAGATCAATGGCAATTACAGTATTAAAAGAGGAGGGGAAAGTAGTCGCGATAGAATCTCTAGTGGTAGTTCTCGTGGTTGTTATTATTGTAGAGAGCAAGGACATGTAAAACGGAATTGCTGGAAATTAAATGGCAACCAGCAAAGTACACCCGTCAGACTCCTATGGGGAAATTTGCTAATATTGCTACTCAGGACGGTCTTCTACCTACACCTCCTACGCTTCCATCTCAACATCAAATTATGATTCCAACAGATGAATATGCTCGCCTTACACAATTTTATGCTTCTCAACAACTCACTCCTCAACAGTATGTTCCACCTTCCACTTAGTGGTGTCAACGAGTCGAGCCGAGCCCGGCCAAAAAAATTAGGCTCGGCCCGAGCCGGCTGGGTATTTTTTTTTTAAATCTACATTTTTTTAAAAAAATTGTACATTTCATGCGTGTTATAAATTAAAGAAATTATAAAAGTTAAAACCCTCATCCTTTATCCGGCGCTTGGGACCGGCTACAATTATCGTATGCATAGTTAAAATTGTACACGAATAAAATATTTCGTGTACAATTTTTCTTTAAAAAAAATTTAAAATTACGTAATTTTTTTAAACTAAACAATTTAAAAACTTACAATATCTTATACTTTAATCTGCTATAACTATTCGACCATTATACTATCAACTTGTTCTTGAAGACGTAATTCCGCACATTCTTAGTCCTTCAAATATATTAAAGCCTCCAATATATCTTCTTTTAGTCTCGATCGTTCGTCACATAAAACCCGACCACCTAAACTAAATGCAGCATTCGATGCTACTGTAGACACCGGCTGTGTTAGTAGATCGCGAGCAATTTTTGATACAATTGGATACTGCCTTTCGTTACATCTCCACCATGATAAAAGACTAAAATCCTGTAATTCTTGTGGTTGTAACATACTACGAACGTCCACGCACATATACCTAGCTAACTCCGAAGGAATTTCAAGATTTGTACCACTGACATCTATTGCTCTAGATATTGACGAACTAGAACTAAATGAGGGAATACTAGTATTGGTCTCTAAATAACTCCATATATTATCTACATTTGTTGAAGTGTTCTTTGAAAAAGTATTTTGGGAAGAACTACACTGACCTTCTTTTTCAGCGTAATAGTTATACATTTCGCATAACATTGATTCTATATTCGTATGTGAAAATTGTATATCCATGAAACGTGAAATCCCATTTATAATAGCTTTTGTGCCAGTTAAATTAAGTCGAGGGTCCATTACAGAAGCTAATAAAAATAATGAGGGTATCTCTTCCCAATATTTACGAAACTTTAACTCCATAGAATAAACTACATCAACAAAAATTGGGAAATTCCTATGTCTTTGAAATGTTTGTGCAAAATAGAAAAAATGTTGTAAAACAAGTGAAGATGTAGGGTAATAAATACCGCTACATTCCTTTGTGGCATTGAAAAACGGTTTTAAAAATGTTTTAACGATAAATGCAAGATTCCATTCCCAATCTTCCAAATTATGTTCGGGTCCATATGTATGCCTACCATTATAATACATTGTAATAACTTTATCATAATTTTCACACGAGTGTAACATAAGATATGTAGAATTCCATCTATGTGATACATCAGTGACAAATGATTTCTCTTCTAAGCCATACTCAGCACATAAACTGTTAAATGCTTGCTTTCTTGCAGGTGATATAGTAATAAAATTAATTGCTTGCCTAATTTTATCTAACTGTGTTTTTATATGTTCTAATCCAGATTTTACAATCAAATTAATAATGTGGCATACACAACGTTGATGGAAAAATAAACCTCCAAATATAGGGTTCAAATCATCAATAAATTTATCGACAACAACTTTGTTTACACTAGCATTATCAAAAGTAAAACTTCGAATCATTTCTTGCATACCATATTCTTGTATAATATCTTTTAAAACCATGTATATGTTAGTCGCATTATGAGGATATTCTACACATCTAAATGCAATAATTCTTTTATGCATAATCCATAGGTGATCAATGTAATGAGCTGTAGCAGCAATATAACCTTTTTTATTAACACCGGTCCATAAATCAGAGGTAAATGATATAACACAATTAAAAGTTTTTAAACTTTCAATATTAGTTTGTTTTCTTTTGTTATATAATTTTATAGCATCAGAACGAAGAGTATTTCTACAATAAGAATGATACCTGGGTTGGAGATAATTCTGCACAAGACGAGTAAAGTGTATTGACTCGATCATCGTTAGCGGCATCTCTGCTGCAGCCACGTATGTAACCATTCCTTCACGAAATCTTTCCTGTGAATATACAAAAGTGGAAAGAGTAGAACCGGAACCAGTAAATGTTAGTTCGGTCTGTTTCGGGTCAAGACCGACTGGTTTCGCTTTGCAACTTCTTAATATGTGTCTATTTAAATGCGATGTGCTCGAACTAGGCTTCCAACTGAGTTCTTTACCGCAATAATTGCAACATGCTTTCCAAATATCGACTCCATTTTGAACCCCAACTTTTTTCCGAGTCATATGTTGCCAACAATCTGCAGACTCTTTTTTCGACTTTTTAACCTCGACTACTTCCTCCTCTTCGATATCTTCCAAATCAATTGGAACATTTTGAGATGCATTGTACCCCAATGGAGTACTCGAACTACCTCTAAACTGATTAATCTCATCACTAGTGAAATCCATGTGTAAGTATTATAGTAAAAAATATTGAAAAAAAGAGTAAAAGAAATTTGAGAGTATAATACTGAATTTGAATATTGAGTAAAGAAAGTTGAGACTTGAGAGCTCAATTGGAATTTGAATATTGCGTAAAGAAAATATGAGATAGCTTGATATGAATTTGTAAAAATTTTCTAGTATTTATAGACAAAAAAATATATCCGTTTTAACTATATTTAATTAAAAAATTCAAATTTTTGACAAGACAATTCAATTCAAAAAAATTTACGAATAATTTTTTGTAGTAAGTGGTAACCTGTACGCAGCTACAAAGCTACCTCACGGGCAGCTACAATGTAGCTACCTGCACATGCAGCTACAACGTTTAGCAGCTACAACGTGTAGCTGCTTGAACTGCCTTGCAGGCAGCTACAACGTGTATCTGAATGCTGTTTTTTTTCAAAATTTAAATTTTTTTTATTATTATTATCTGGACACGGGCCGGCCCGGGCTCTGGCTTACGCCCCAAAGTGGGGCTCGGCCCAAGCCTCGGCTTGGTGCAACTGGGCCCAAGCTGGGCTCGGCTCGGGCCTTTTTAAAGCCGAGCCCGAGCCCCTGAGCCTTTTTGCTACCGCTACTTCCACTTCCACTTCCACTTCCACTTTAGCCAACACAGGTAATTCTGTAGCGTGTCTTTCTACCTCGTCTCGCAATTAGGTTATTGATTCTGGTGCCACGGATCATATGACTGGCGATACATGTATACTTTCATCATTTCAGTCTTCTTCTAATTTACCGTGTGTCACCTTAGCTAATGGTTCTACAACTTCTGTAGTTGGATATGGGACAGCACATCCAACAAACTCTCTACCATTATCTTTCGTCTTATGTTTACCTCAATTTCTTTTTAATCTTTTATCTGTCAGTCAAATTACTAAATCTCTTCATTATAGTGTCCATTTCTTTCCTAATCACTGCATTTTTCAGGATCTTGGGACGAAGCAGATTATTGGTAGAGGGCGTGAGTTCAATGGCTTGTATGTGCTCGACTCTTCTCTCACACGGGTGCCAAAATCGATTGCATGCACGAATATCTTTTCTCTTCTGCACCTTCATTGTCGCTTCGATCATCCTTCTCTCCCTATTTTGAAGAAATTATGTCCTAATCTTAGTCGAGTGTCTCAATTAGATTGTGAGTCGTGTCAATTCGCAAAGCACCACAGGGTAACATATCTATCTCGAATGAATAAACGGGCTGCGCCCTCTTTTGATTTAATACATTCTGATATTTTGAGTCATTGTCCTATTTTATCTAAGATTGTTTTTCGCTATTTTGTTACCTTTGTAGATGATTATTCTTGAGTTACTTGGTTATATCTTATGAAAAATTGCTCAGAGTTATTTTCAATTTTTTGCACCTTTTATGTTGAGATTGAAACTCAATTTGATAAATCTGTACGTATCTTAAGAAGTAATAAAGCCAAGGAATTTTTCTCATCCATATTTACTTCATTTCTTTCTCAAAATTGTGTTCTTCATCAATATTCATGCGTCGTTACTCAACAGCAAAATTGAGTGGAATAAAGAAAGAATAGTCATTTATTGGAAGTTGCATGGGGTCTTCTTTTTCATATGAACGTTTCAAAAGAATTTTTGGCAGATGCAGTCTCTACTACATGTTACTTAATCAATCGTATGCCTTCTCCTGCCTTAGATGGTAAAATCCTCTATTCCATTCTATTTCCCTCTCAGACTTTATTCTCTCTTACTCCTTGAGTCTTTGGGTGTACTTGCTTTGTCCAGGATATGAGACCTTAGGTCTCCAAGCTTGACCCTAGATCCCTTAAGTGTATCTTTTTAGGTTATTCTCTACTTCAGAAAGGTTATCGATATTTCTCTCCTTCCTTAGGACTATACATAGTGTCTGCTGATGTCGCCTTCTTCGAGTCCACACCCTTTTCCAGTACTTCTATGTCTTCTAATTCTTCTTTTGAGTCTGATGATGATTTCCTCGTTTACACTGTGACTACACATGTGGTATCTGTTTCTTCTCGTCCTTATATTCTAAATGTTTACACTCTTCGTGTGCAGCAATCTCCGATGGCACCTACTACAGGCCATGACTTATCACCTTTACCTGCTGCTCCGCCTCAAGATTTATGGCCCCCTCTTGATCCTAGTCTTGATCTTCGCATTGCCCTTTGAAAAAGGTAAATGGTCTTGTACTTATCCAGTCTCTTCTTTTGTTTTTTACCATGTATTGTTACAGTCTTCC